AATTAACTCATTTCTAGATTCACATAATATGTGGAAATATAAACTATTCGCACTACTAAAAATGAATGCAGGTGAATACACAGCCATTGTTGTGGGGGGGGGGGACTCTGTGTTATATCGACTTCATATCCCACATATTAATCCAACATAGAGTTATTTTGCTCATCATATGGAGAATAGATCTACTAATCCAGAGTCCACTGGAGTTGGGTGGCCAATAAATTTAAATAACAATAATAATCAACAAGATTCACTTCAGTTTATCTAGCCTCATCCTATCTTGCAGATGACCTTAATATGTCCATGGAGTCCCCAGAAGTTGCTCTTAAGTCAACAGAGACCTTACCTACCTATGCTTAAGTCAGAGCTTCAGCTTCTCCTACACCATACCTTCAGGAACAAAATAGATTGTGCAATGGCTTTTTCTAATCATCTGCATGAAAGAATACCTATGCTTTAAACTATAAACTAAATTGAGCCTTTCCAACTGCATGACCTCTGAAGATTGTGTTATTACCATAGAGAGGTTTTGAATTAAAGCTACCAGAATCCTAGACATTACTCATGCTTGCTTGTGGTTATAGTCCAAAAGACCTGGAAGGCACCAGCTTGCCCATCCTTACAGAACATGTGGAGTTTCCACCTGACAACATCAGGGTGTTTTGTTAATAATTCATCACTTTCCACATCCCTGCCCTTGCCCAAGATAGCTCACAATCTACATACTAATGCGAGAGAGAAAATCAAAGAGGACCAAAAACGAGAGACAAGGATAAATGAAATAATATTTTGTGATTAATTCTGTAAGAGACAAATAGCCTTAGAGCACTAGGGGGCACAGGAGCAACAAGACATCTTGCACGGCCTCAAGTCCTCCTCCTGAGAAGGGCTGAAACTGGCAGAGTTTCAGGTGAGAAACACAAACCCTGATGAGCAAGTCCTCACAAAGGCTTAACACCCTTTTAAAAACCAAAGGAAAAACCCAGTTTGTTCCCACCCCAACCCAGAAAGAAAATTTCAACCACACCTGTACATATGATCAAGCCGTGCCCATTCAGCACCTCTGCTTTACCAAACACAGCCCCTTCCTCTCCCCCATTGACCATTAAGGGCCAATTTTGTGTTCATGTTGCTAATTCATCTTAGTTACTGTACTTCATTATCCTCTAAAATCTCTCTTCAGCCTAAAGGAGCTTGAGAAAAAGGCTTATAATCACAGTTGGTATCTACTGGCTGGAATCACCAACATGCTAAGCCATGATCCTCTTAATCACATTTTAAAAATATATTAAAATAATTAACTACAATATACTGTAGATGCATACAGCACTATTCATATTATATAACTTCAAAATTAATTATCATGTTATTAGAAAGGGGTGGGGAAGGGCTTGGAAAAGCAATCTGTAAACCGAACTCCAAAAAATCTGGCCACGTTCCTTGAAAGTCTCTTTCCCTCTTTGTCCAAAAGAACCAAAGGCCACAAACTAAATTAAAGGCTAACAAACAGATATCACTAATCCTCTGCTGTAAATCCAGTGTATATTTCTCCTTCCAGTATTGCATAATCATTCTTTCAGCCAGCCCCTTGCCAAAAATATCATATTTTTTTCATGTCTCGATAAGATTCCAAATATCAGGGATATATAGCCATGAAGAACAAATGTATCTATAATTACACTTTGCTGAATGAGTCACAATTGCTGCATTTATATTTTGTCCTAAGCTGTGGCTTGACTGTGTTTAGAAAATAAGTCACAAATGGTCAGGCTTCCCCAACAACCAACATTTACAAAACATATTATGGCTTATTTACACCAATGTGTGAACAATCTACTACGTTCCCAATACATATTTCACCAGATCAGTTATACTAGGAAGTGCATTTGCACCACATGCTCAGGCTGTTAACCTTGGTTAGTTTTGTCCATATGTGCATCTTAGCATGTTGTGCAAGCTTGGCCATTTGGCTAACTGATGGCATAGAATTGTGCAAATCCAGAAAATGGGTTAATTCAATAATTAGGTCAGGTTAGATGTGTGGCATGAATACAGTCAGCACATTATATGCATTGTTTGAAATAATTTAGAATGGTAGAGAAAAGCAACTATACTGAAACACTTTTATTTGCTTCCTGCTAGCCTTGTTAACAAGCTTCTGTGTGTTTTTAAAGCCAGATATAAGTTTAAATTGAAAACGAATTCCTTTTAGCAAACATTTCACATAATGACTTGTGAGGAAACAAATTTTCTTCCCCTTCCCCCATCCTTTTTGCTTGTTCTTAAATTGCAAACAATCTTGTTTTTTCCTCCTACGATCCTCCAAAGTCCTTTAACTTCTGCCTTCATGTTTATATGATACCCATTTAAATGTACCTCTGGATGTCTACTGTTAGATCAAAACCAACCCTCCTCTGAAGGGAAATCAGCAAAACTTGCAAGATACCTATTTAGAAAAGCCCTAACAAACAACCTTAACACAGTTTGTACATTATACCTCTGTTCTAACTCACAAAAGCAATGCTCTTCATTAACACAGTGTGTGTGTATATGTGGGAGGAGCATAATTATGACAATACTTTCTCTTTTAATATACAGAGAAACGAGTTAAAACTCACAATGCATTTTAAGGTGTGTGTGTGTGTAAAAAAATGTGCAGCTTTTCTCACCAGTTGCCGCTGGACCTCTGCAGATACCTTTATTTATTTTCACCAGGGCTTTATTCCAAAATATGCATCATTTCCATCTCTGACTATGAAATCTGTATATTCATTCAGAAGAATGTCTCCTCAACAGGATCCCCTCCTCTTGGAAACTGTTACAGGATACGCTTGTTAGAGGATATGCCTCTGAGCATATGCAGAGTGCTAAAAGAGTACTGTACAGTATAACTAAGTGGCAGAAGTTCCCATAAAAAAAAAAAACGTTCATACTATAATTGTCTTGGATCCAAATACAAGCTTTGTCCAGCTATCAGTGATGCTAACAGATATTCATTATATTTAGATTTTTTTAAAGAAACACATTCTGCCCAAGCTACATCTTGAAGCACAAGAAAAAGGAAGAGTCAGGAAGTTTCTACTGCCTCTTAATCACAGGGATTGATTCAACTAACAATATGCCAGGTGAGATGCAGACCCAGAAACTTCCCCTCATCTTACTCCATTTGCTCTAGCTGTCAAAAATTGGCTCATACGTGCAAAGAAATGATGCATTCTCCAGTACAACCAAATTGGTGTATTTATTTATTCTTTAAGAATAGTTCTCTGGGTGGATTGAAACACAATTTAAAACAAAACCTTGTAAAAATATTCTTTTAAAAAAAAGTAAAATACCATTCAGAGCATTATTGATTAATTAATAATGTAAAGAATAAAATAAATAAAGACTATTCCTAAATATACTTACCAGGAAGAAGCCCAACTGAGCAAACTGGCTAATTTCACATTGCACTAACCTATGGTTTGTTTAACCATGGTTCACTAAATAAATGACAATAATCTGAAATTACTTAGTACACAAAACCAACCAAATTGCAGGGTTGCTTAGCAGAATGATTAGATTCACATAGCCATGCTGTGGTTTAATTATGTTTACTGTGTTACAAAAACCCATGATTGTTGTTTATACAATAAGCTTATAATATTATTTAAAATGTTTTGACTTAACCCCATGCTGTGAGAACACAGCCAGTCTTTTAAGTTACAGTTATGACAAGTTTGCAGCCACACTTATAAATAAGAACATATATGCAAATCACTTGTCTCCCACCTACTGAGTGACAATTTTCTTCTTTGGTTTTGCCAAAGAATAAGTGGTCAGCCTGTCCCAACCTTGATTGCAGCCAGATGTATGCATGCTTTTCATCATCACCTAGGTGACTCAGGTTACGACAGCAATTGGGACCAGGATTGCCATCTCTAAGCGATGCAATCGTAAAGCACAACATCATGTGACCACATCGCTTAGCGACAGCAATCCCAGCAGACCTGCATGCCATCATAACCCCAACACGGGTCATTAAGAGGGAAGCGGCAGAAGTCCCAGGTAAGGAGCATAGGGGTG